ATCGTATTGTGCTTCACAAAGGGAAGCCTGATTTATCCTTCTCTTTGGGAAATTATATATATAAGTGAAAGGTTGTCATGAATGGCCAATTTCAGCCAAAGGGGGGGGGGGTGTCTATGTGATGCTTTCTGGAGCTTGCAGGGTATTTGCTTTGCTTGAAGTGCTTGAACAGAATGTTTGGAACAACAGAGAGGAAAAGACTTCTGTATTTCTTCAGGAAGAAAGTTCTGCAGCTTGTGCTCCCCATCCAGTCACATTTTGGGCTTACAGAGAGGTAGTTTGATTTCCTTACCTGGCTGAGATAGTAAAGCTGCTCCTGTGGAGAATGGAACCTGACTCCTGTAAGGAGTGCTGGGTAAAGTATAACTGGTGTAGGACATAGGCAGAAACTGAGCTCCAAAACTTGTGTTCTGAGAACTGGCGTGGTTTGACATTGCTGTGTTTGCCTTAGGACAGGAACTTCTGTCCTGAAGAGGAGAATTTCCACCCATACTCTGGCTTTTGCAATGAATAGTTTTGGCTCATTCGTACAAACCTGCCCTCCTCAGGGGTTTGAGGTGCTGTGCCAGGCTGGGCCAGGCTGGCTCTGATGTGGTGACCCACTTCCTCCTGTGATGGAGAGAAAAATCCCCTCGGGGGAGGAATGGGGAGCACAGCTGGAGGCGCTGAGGTTTTAACCAGCGCTGCAGGCGCTGCAAGAATTCCCCTGATGCAAATCCGGGCTCTGCTGGGACTTGCTGTCCCCTGGGATGTGCTGTGCCACCTCTCTGCCTCCCAAGGTGCAGCGTGTCTGATGAGTTTGTAGGGCTGGTGTTAGGTTATCTTCAGTCTCCAGCCTGGTTTGGAGTTGCCAATTAAAAGGTGATTCCTTGCGGCTGGTTAAGAAGCTTCTGAGAAGTTGGGCTGGTTGGCTGAGGATGAGCCCCAGCACTGTTTTTACACTGAGGGTTTCTTCCCGTGCTGTGTTACATCCTCAGTGCCGTGGTCACTCAGCACAGGCTTCCAGAAGAGCTCAGGTTTGTTTTCTTTGCACAGTGGGATTGGTAGCCCCAAAATGGGAGATAAGGATGACGATGGAAGGCAGCCTGAGCAAAAGTGGTCTCTGATGTGGCAGTAGTGGATATCTCTTTTAGTAGAAATGAAAATTATTTTACCATTGTTATATAAACTATAGTAAAAATCAAGACTGAGAGGAATCCAAATAATAATTTTTTAAGTTTTGCTGGGAAAAAAATGAAGTTTGCTTGATTTTGGAGCTGCCAAAGAAAGAGGTTTCAGCTTTTGCTCTGTTTTGATTACAGTCAGTCTAGGTATTGATTTTAATACCTGCAAGAATGATCAGAGCTGAAAAATAATTATTGCCAGAGAGCCGAGAATCCCCTTTTATCTCTGATAGCAGAGTTCAGATGTGTGTTGCAGGTCTCTGTGGAGAGGTGCTCCTTGAGCTGCATTGCTTTCTTTGGGTACCTGCAGCCGTGCTGATCCACTCCAGAAAGCTTGGCAGGCCTTCCCTGTAAACTAACTGGAGCAAATTTGTTTATTGGTGTCAAGGGAAAGGTGCATTAGTGCTGCTTCAGGTGGTAGGCAGCAGGTGTGAGAGACATGGATTCAGGAGCTCTGGGAATGGGAATAGTATTTCAGGCAAAGTCATCACCACAGTCCAGCAGAGGGGATTGAAATATTTAATTGTTGCTCCTTTCCTGGCTTTGAAGAGGCAGGATTGATCCAGAGCTGAGTTCAGAGGGATAAATACCCCAGGACAGTTACTACTGAATTACCAAGGCTGTACATCTGGTAGCCTGAAAGGAGACGTTTATTTTATTTTATTTTTTTTTTTGGGGGGGGGGGGGAATCTGGAATGATCCCTGTCAGAGTCAGAATGAAAGTCCAATTTTTCAGGGACACAGAATGTGGAAGGGCAGCTCGCTTTTTCTGCATGAAATAATATCCCTCCCCCTTTTCTCAGGTAATCTGCTCTTCCCTCTGTCTGTGGAAGTAGCTCCGTGTTTTAGCTGTAAATAGCCTGGATAACCATCCTGCTTGGAATAGGGTCAGAAATCCTCCTGGTGATGGCAAACCTTTCAGGTGGGGAACTCGAGGGCTGTACCAGCCCTGCCCCACTGAGAGCCCAGACCTCCTGTGCTGCCCCAGCTGCTTCCAGGGGAAGCACTGCCTGTTCTGAGCTGTTTGGGAGCCCTCTGGAAAGAGAATGGACAGGGACAGGGACAGATGGATGAACTCTGGGCTGGGCTAATGGTCCCTGAGGGAAGATGCCCTCCATCTGCCTTATAAAATCAGTACTAAGGTGGATTTCTGGACCATCTTGTTGAAACTTGGATGGAAGGGAAACGATTTGCTGTGTCCACATCAGCAGTTCTTGGAGCACTTGCCTTAAATGTGGTGCTGCTGTGTGAGCTGACTTTAGCCTGGCTGTGGAACTGATACTGAGCAGGCACCCCCCCTCAGCCCAGCAGTTATTTCCCTGCAGTCAAAGGTACAATCTGACTGACTGTGAATTAAGCTGTTTGCTGGGCGTGACACAACCTGGAAGTGACCACCTTTTGACCCAGCTTTGCTGTTCTGATGCTGGGTTGCAGTTGTCAGAGTAACCTGCTCTTAAATGGGTCATTGTCTCCCTGCTCCGTGTTTGCCGGGGTCTGGCTCTTGGGGGCTTCAAACTGCCTTTCCCAAGGGTGCTTTTAGTGCCTCCGACGGTGTGACACAGTTTGTGTCCCTGGATAACTCGGCTGCCTGTTCAAATGCCACTGACTGAAGTCTCTACAGCTGCCACCAGAAGTTTTAATCTTCCAGGCATGATTCTACATGCCAGTGCTTTTATTTGCCTGCAAGTGCAGAGTTGTGTGGACTTGATTTTTCAAAAGCTCTCGCAAATGTTTTAATCCTTTCATTACTACTATTTGATCAGGCCTCATCTGAACATGCCTTACTGCCTTGCAAATGCTAAATTCCTCTGTAATTCCTTTAATCTTTATTTCCTCAGTTTATTCCCTCATTGTTGGATCTTTAAAGTAATAGAATCCACGGGTATAGGGCAGCTCAACAGAGATCTGATTCCAGCAGAGGGCTGTGATCTGGCATTTGTTAGATGGTGACTCACAGGAATCCAGTGATCTAGAGGTGAAAAGCTATTTCCTTCTACTTAAACCTTTCTCTTGTGATGACTTCAAGAGGCTTTGGAATTTCAAGATACTTTCTCCCTCTTTCCCCCTTCCCCCTCTTAGCAGACAACCACATCACCTTTCCTTTGAGTTTCCCAGCACCCTGCCCACATAGGAATTATTTCATGTGCAGCCTGTGTGATGTGCACAGCACAGAGGTTCCTCTTGCCCCTGTTGTTTAAACCTGGATGGCATTTGTGCCACTGTGGAAAAGCTTTCCTTGGACCCCTTCCTTGGAAAACAGTCACATTACGTGGATTGGGGGCTTTGCCTCTCACTTCCCAGTGGTTCAGCAGCTGTACTGCAGGCAACGAGTGAAATAGTTCCTTTAACATAAGCTGGTAACAAAAGAGTTCCTCGATGAAAGTTTGGTGTGGTTGGACATAAACCAGGAGGAGTCACTTTTGGAAGTGTTTAAGGTACAGTTACAGGAAGTCACCCCAAAAAATTACCCATGTCAAGACAGTATAGAGAAAGCATATGGCATCTGCAGTCAGAGAGGCAGGTGTGCCTGTGAGTCAAAATACCTGTAATACTATAAAAATAACAAGGTATTATTCACCAAAGCATCAGATTTACTACAGCAGGGATCTCAAAAGAAATCAGTAAATTCTCATTGCACTTGTGGCATCCTTTGTTAGGAGGAATTTTCGATAGTAAGTGCTAATAGTTCTAAAGTAGCTGGTTACGAACCAGAGCGGGAAATCCGGAGCCTATTTTAAAGCTGGTTTGAGAGGCTGTGTCCGTAGTGAAGGTGGATTGCCCTGGGCAGGGCTTTCTGCAAACAGATTGGCACCCAGATCGTTAAGCTTAATTACTGCAATTCACAGCACTATTTCTGCCTTGTTTTCTCCTGGTATGAACACTGGCAGTGCTGCCCTAGAAATGGGGGACGGATTATTTTCCTTGGAATATCGGAGTGACCATTAACTTTCCTTTCTCCCTACTGTTATTTCGGGTAAAATACAGACAATGTTCGAGTTCCACCGTGAATTGTTACAGCTGGCTGTTCTCGCAGCTGCTCTGCTTCGGGTTTGCTTTGTGCTGTGTGAGCGGGACCCCTGTCCGTCCTGCCCGTGCTGCGTGAGCACAGCTCCAGGAGCCAGTACCAGATCCCAGGATAAATGAATATTTTCTATTTAATTAGGCCTCGGTGAATGTGCAGAGCAAGGGTCTATTCCCAAGAATTAACAGTGGATGCTCAAGAAACTTTTGTAAGCAGACACACGGCTTGAAACACACGAGTGAGAATTAAATACAAATTAATGGGAGGATTACCTTTAAATAGCAAACTACCCTCTGGAAAGAGGTGAAGTTTAGAGCCTGGAGAGCATCAGCCTCATGGGAAAGACAGGCTCTTCCTTTTCCATTGAGACTGGGATTTTAGCTAGAGGTTTGGATTGCTGCACCACAGAAAAAATGATTTTATCTCCTCAATTCAAGATTAATCAATTATTTGAATTCTTCAAAACCCCAGGAGCAAAACCAAATCCCTTTCTGTATTTCTTCTTAGTCAGTATTTTCCAGTGGTACGGATTCATTTGCATTTCTCTGTGCTTTAAAACTAATTTCCCCTGTGTTCTACTCTATTTTTATCTGCTCAATATTAACCCAGCAAAAGTCTGTAGAATCAGGTGTGAAAGTAAACAACTTCACATTTTCAGTATTGGTTACAAAGGCAGTTATTACTATTGGAGAGCAACTTCAGCCTGAGATGCTGATTCTACCCCCCTCTTGTCTCTTTTACCAGTCAATCCCCTCAAGTATTATTTCCTGTTCTTGAGCAATAAGATGAATTTCTGCCTTGTTCTTGTTCCACAGACATCCTCTGCCAGCAGCTTACCCCTATGACCTGCCAGAACTCCACTGAACTGAAGACTTTTTTCCTGTGGACTATGTAAGTACCAAGTATCCAAATAATTAAGCTTTGATAACCAAAAGGTTTCTAGGAAAGGTGCCTGGGATTATTCTCAGCTGTTTGTACTTCAGGACATTATGACTGTATTTCATCTCAGGTCTTTGCCTGGCAGCTCTGAGGGAAGGCAAAGATTACTGATCCTGTTGTAGCTCCGTGGAGATGAAATGTTTATTCTGGGATTACATCACAGGAGTTTGCACTTAGGTGATGAGCTTCCAAAACCAGTGAAGACAATGTACAAAAGCTCACTTTGGTTTACCCTCATGTTTTCAAATTTAAAATGATCAGAGGGTTGACAAGTGCTCTAGTGCAGCCCGTTAAACCTGCCAGTCCTGTGCCAACACTGCCAGCTCCACAAATGCTCAGGCTGTAGAGGATGTGAAGTCAATGGCAAAATTTTAAAATTCAATAAACTGCAAGTGGCTGGAGCTTCCAGCACACTCTTTACACTCTTTATTACACAGGGGTAGTGTTTTACAAGCTGTTGTGTAATACAACTTGAATGATATGAATAAACTTTCTGTACCTTCTGCACTTTCTGGACCTTTGGATGTGCAATTGTGGAATGCAGATGTGACTCAGCCAGGACCAGGAGTAGCACAGTTCATCTCTGTGCCATTTTTAATGTTTTTACTTCAAAAGAGGCCTAGGGAAACAAAACCCCCACAATTCTCTGAATAAGGAACAGAGGAGGGGATGTACCTTTCCAGTGATTGGCTTTGCATCCAGTACAATACAGAGAAATGGAAAAAAATGCCTGTTTTAAAAATGCCTGTGGAAAAGCTCAAGATGGAGAACCCACTGCAAAGTCTGTAAAGGGGAAAAAAAGCCAAGCTTATGGTGAAAGTAAAGCTGCATGGCTGTAACCATGGAGACCAAAGCTCTTCTGATGCAGAAATAAATGAACACAACCTTTTCATATTTATTAGTGGGACTGATGATGAAAGATAAAGTCAAATTAAAATATAAAGCAATAGAGACAGAACAGGTTGCTGCCTCTGCCCCTGCAATGCAGGTTATTGTAATGGATCACTACAAATGAGCTGGGGTTACAGAGAGGCAAATTAGTTATGAAAGGAACAAAACACTCTTAGTTATACCAACCTGTTTATCCAAATATCAACTTCTTTATTACAAAACTGGAGACAGTGCACACAACATATTCCTGAAATCTTTTGGCTCTGATAGAAATGGAAATAATACCATAGCATTGTATGAGATGTGTGTACTACACAAAGGGAAACTTTCCTGTAGCTGTACTAGTGAATATTTGACACCTGCTAATTTCTTGGTAGCAAGAATGACAGAGTTTTCCTATAAAAATACAGGGTGAATATTCAGGTTTGTCTTGAAAATACGTGTCAAAGGGTCAAGTGAGTTGTTGCTACAGAACTGTTACTGCAGGACAGGGGATGGCAGCAGGAAACGTTGCTGGAGCTTTCAGGAAGATTCAGAGCTCGTGCAATAAACCTTCGGTGCAGATCTTTGCCATGATGTTGCAGGAATGTTTTGATTGAGCAGAAATCCCAGGGCAGGGAAAGGATTAAGGTTAAGGGTGGCTTTGGTGTGTGATGGACTGGACAGAGAACTGGGAGTTTAGGAAAGCTGCCTGTCTGTCCCTGCTGTGAAATCCCTGTTCATTTTGGGGGAGAGCTGAGTGGCTGTGCCCGAGGGTGGAGGGGAGGGGCTGGAAGGAGAGGAGCACTGACAGGGGAAGCGAGGGAAGTGTCCTGTGGCACCAGGGTAGGTCTGTGTGTGAACAGGGCTTCACCAGCACAGCTGTGGCTGTGACACCCCGACACAGAAGCACCACAGCAGCTGCTGTACCTGTCTGGGGCTGCCCTCAGCACCCTGGGGGTGACAGGGTACAGCAGCTCCCACCTTCTGCTGCCCAGAGCTGGCATGTGTCCAAAAACGATGTCTGTGCCAAAAACTGCTGCTCAGTCTCAGCTGCTCCACCCTGCAGATCTCAGAGTGGATTTAAGACAGAAAACTCACTTCACTTTTCTTCAGTTCCAGTGAAATGGCTGAAACAAAGAAGAGTCTTAATGGTCTTTGTGCTGCTGTGCTCCCAAAGCCCAGGCAGCCTCCTAGTTCCGAGCTCCCACTGGACACAGGGAATGTCAGTGGCAGCTTGAGCTGCTCCTCTGTGAGCATAGCAAGAGGGGACCAGAGATCTGCTACAGAACTTTGTAATGGCTGTAAAACTTGGGTAACTTCCAGCTCATAAAGTTATAATGGTGTGACATTACACATGGTGTTAATTTACACAAATTGGGGTTAAGGTTCTCCCAGTTTTATTGGGCTCTTTACCTCTTCTGCTTTCTGACTTCCTCAAAAGTGTGGTTAGCCTCAAATCTGAGGGGAATCCGAGCCCAGCCTCAAATCCACATTTGAAGAGTAACTGGTTTGAAATAGTGGAAAGTTTACGGCAAAACTTAAAATAAACACCCTCCATCCTTCTTGATATTCTGGTAAGAGACTGATTTTGTGCAAGACCTTTAATTTAATCACTATATAAAATGCTATTTCCTGGAATTTTCTGGCAAATGAAGTGCTCCTAGAGAGTTCATATTTCAGTTTTAGTATTCACTGACTACACCCAGGAGTTCAGAATATTTAACTTATAACTACAGAGCTCACTAATACTAAATTTACCTTGCCAGATATTGAGACAAATCTGGTGCAGGTTGATAAAAGGATACCAAATTGCTTCTGCCATTGCTTGATAGATAAAGGCTGCTGTACTTTGGGTTCAAGTGTTTTGCAAACACATTTGTAAAATCCCTTAAAGCCAAGATGAAGGACACAGAATAACTTCTGAAATGTCTCAATCTTCAGCCAGCAGCTGCCTGCAACACAGTGGGAGGAAGGAACACAACCAAGTTTTCTTAGAAAGGACTCAGCTTTTCCAGGACTCCCTGCCTGGAGCTACTGGGATACAGATCAAGCCACTGACAGCTCTAAGTGGTCGTTAACAAACTCTCACCTGATTTACTGAAGTCATTCTCCATGAAATAGTTTGGAAAACCTGCTCACAAAACAAGTTGAGGTTCAAGTTTTCTTTTAAAGCAGAGAAACACAAGGAGCTCTTTTGCTGATGTAAATGCCAAAGTGTTTTTCCTGTATTGTTCTTGAAACATCTTCTACCTCTGGAGTTCAGAACTGGGAGCCGGCCACTCCTCTGAGGTAAAAAAGCACAACAAGAGTTGTGTCCCTTCTGTGAGGGGGGAAAGAACAGGACACATCTAAATCATCTCCACCTCCAGGTACCTGTTTTCAGTCATCACACACAGAGTTAGTCCAACAAATCCCAGAAATGCTCATTGCAGTGTCAGCAGCACATGGAGCAGAGTCTCAGCTTTGGCTCCCAGGGCCAAGTACAGTTAAACCCACCTGACTGCTCCAGATCTCTGGGAAATGGTTTTGCTGCTTAAAGTGTTGGAAAACACAGAATTATTCCCTCCTTTACAACATCAGTGAGAACTGCACAGGTCAGTTTAGTTCTTGTAAAGTATCAAACAGTAGGAACTGGGATTTATGAGTCCCACTCATTGCTCTGATGAAGAACAGTTTTGTTGTCATCACAATTAGACTGCCCTCAGTAAATCCTCAGCTTGCCTTGCTCAGCTGTCTGTTCCCTGCACATGCCCACAGTGCAGGACTGGCTTGGCCAAACCAATCCCATCTTTGAATAACCTGATTTTTAGTTTTCCTGCTATCCAAATTACTTTTCCTTCCAAGCCAAGCCCAGCCTGTGCTCCTCCCTGTGGGAGTGGTCAGTCTTCCAGCAACGCTGCTCTGCTGTCCCTCAGGCCACAGTGCTCCAGACACAGCTCTGGGGAGGGTTTTTAGAGGTGAAAGCAATTTCCATTCACTGAGTACAAAGGGATGGAAAAGGCAAGGAATTCACAATTTCCCTAGGATGGAGAACAAGCAAACCACTACAGTTCTATTTATAACTCTGTGTTCTACAACACTGAACAGGAACAACAAATTTCAGCCCAAGTTGGCTGTGCAGATTTTCAATATCCTTGAAGGACATCACTCTATTCAGTAAGTACTAAACAGGCCCCAGCAGGGCTGTGGAGCACTTGGAAAAACAAAGGAGAAAAAAAAAGGAATGAACACAGCAAGGTGAGATTTTTTAACCAGGAATGTAGCAGTTGCATGTAATAAAGCAAATATTTACATTAAGCACAATACAGCAATTTATTTAGATGCTTAAATGAAGAATACAAAGGGAAATAAAGATCACAAAATTATACATACTACAACAGTGTGTCATATATTAGATGGTATAAATGAATACAACACCTTGTTGGTGTAAACTAAAGATAAAACTAAATATCCAAACCCAGCACTTTGTCTCAGTGTGCTGCTTCAACACAATACACTTTTATACAGATCTAAAAGGTGTCAAAATTAGTAGCTGCAAACTTGTTTCTTGCATGTGATTTTTCTTTTTTAGCTTAAAAGATTTCAGAAAATGGCTCTGAAATACGTTTGTCATCAGTTGTCATGTCAAGGATATTCAGAACAAGAAAATTCTATAATACAACAGAGCCCAGATATATTTTTATGTTGCTGGCCTCTGGTTGGAGATTGTACAAGGTTATGTGCAAAAACTAAGTTTGTCAAAATTCATACTAGAGCAGTCTCAAGCTTTGCTAGGGAAACTAGATACAGCATTTATTACACAGCAGGGCAACACTAAAAAAGAGAAACAGATCTATGATGGGTACACAAGAACAGTTCCATAAGCTTCACTTGAATAGGTCTAAAAGACTGTACAAATATACATTTCAACTATTCAGAATGATACATGAAAAGTCCATTTCCCCAGAGTCTGCTATACAGGTGCACCGGGTCGCGGCCGCGCCGCCGAGAGGGGCATGTTGGAAAGACACAACTCAACATGGACAAGGTGAATAAAGGTTGGAAATGCAGATAAAATAAACCTCTGCTTTTCTCTGTGTGCATTCTGGAGCCACCAGCATATCCATTTCACATTAAGTTACTGTGCTCATCCCAGCCGGAATTCTCAAGCCAGAGCAGCCAAGAGCATCCGTCCAGGCCCACTGGGCCAGCAGTGGCCACCCCAGGCCAGGCCGAGCCCTGGGAGCAGTCCCAGCTGGGTGAAGCTGCGCAGTCCCACTGCAGGGGGTGTGGGGCAGTGCAGGCCGATGCCAGGCCGTGCCCGGGCCGCTCACGCCTGCTGGCTGCTCAGCTCCACTCCGGGCAGGCTGCCGTGCATGGGCTCGGCCACGGCGGCCGCCACGCCCGCGAAGGGCTCCCCGTCCTCGCTGTCCATCGCGCTGCTCTGCCACTCCATCTGCTGACTGGACAGGCTCTCCTCCATCTCCGATGTGTTCTTCCATTGCGACTGGTCCTTAGACCAAAACTCTTCTACTTTTCCATAGGAACGATTCTTCCACTTTGACTGTTCTTCATCACTTTCGGATCCGCCCCCTTTGGCCTCGACAGCTGGTTTACTGCTCCCAGCATCTTCACTTTGGGAGGATTCATCTGTCCACACTTCTGGTTTTACTTCTAATGTATTATCTTCAAAATCTGAGACCTGCTGGGAACCAGGCCCACTTTCAGACTGGGAAGCTCCATCTTTCCATTCCACAGCATCATCCTGATCACCTTCGCTATCCGAAATGTCCCCTACCAGTTTTGTTGGTTCTTCAGCAGAAATAATCTCTTCATATTTAGAGCTTTCCTCTTGTTTTTGGTCAGATTTCTCTGGAGACTGTAATGCATTTTCTTCCACGATTTCCTTGGATATGCTGTCCTCGGGGTTCTCCCCTGTGCCATCAGATGTGGGTTTCCCACCAACGTCAGAGATGCACTGACCAAAGGGACTACGGCTTTCGTTGTATTCCTCCTCTATATTTTCATAGCTGTCTGAGGAACTCTCATTGTCTTTTTCTAAGTTGATTTTTTTATCAACAGTCTTACTGGCATTGACTCTGGAGTTCTTTTCATCGTGGTTTTCGAACAGCCATTCAGCATCAAAATCCATTTCGTGTTTGACTTTGTTGAGCTCTTTCATGTTGAAGCCGAGCAGCACCCCGGGTTTGTACTTCTCACAGTCCCGAACACATTTCTTCCTTTTGTTACTGAAGTGAGAAGCGATATCAGATTTCCAGAGCCACAAACTGGCCGCCAGCTTTTCGATCTCTCTCCTCGTGGGGTAGGGTTGCTTATTGAAATATTTTGTAAGAAACGTTTTCCTGGCTTCATAGGAATCATCTTCATGACCCTTGGGGTCCAGTGCGAGAACTACGGGTTCTTCAGGCTTCTCCTCAAAGCCAGAGGGGGAGTCCTCGTCATCCATCTTCCTTTTCTTCATGAGTGGGAACTCCACGTGCTCGTAGGTGCGTTTCACCGGCGCCACGGCCGGGGACTGGCCGAGCCGGGACGTGCCCTTGTCCTGCCCGTTCTGGGTCTTGCCCACCCCTCTGCAGTGCACCAGGTGCAGCGTTATGGTCGAGGCCGTCATGTTACTCGTGTACACCCCGAGGCAGTGGATGCACTTGTAGGTCAGCTTCTTCTCCACGGGGTGAACCGTCTGGATCACCTGATGCCTCTCCCGTAGGTGATGTGCAAGAGCATCAGAGATGGGTCCTTTTAGGATTGAAAAGCACAGAGGACACAGAGTTTTCCCCACATCTTTTTTGTACGGCACTGCTGCTTGTGGAGAACTTTTGACAGGTACGTCAGACTTCTCCTGGATTTTGGGCTGTGGTTTTGGCGGAATGGGGGGAGTGTTCTGAGCATGGTAAGCTACGGATTCAGCGGGAGCATCTCGCAGGTTGTAGGTGGTTACAAGGAGATGTATGTTCGTGTGACCGCCCTGCTGCAACGTCAAATCAAAGGTTAGAGTGGAATCAGTCTTAGGTCCCATTTCTTCGTCCACGTGAACCATTCTCATGTGAGCAGCCATCTTCTCCACGTCGTTGAAGGTGGAGCGGCAGTAGGGGCAGGACAGGCCGTGGATCAGCATGTGGTTGAGCAGCGTGTCGGTGGGCAGGTAGCGGTTACAGTAGAGACATTTGCTAGTGAAGTTGTGGATCTTCATTATGTAGTTGGCGACCGCAGGCACCTTCTCAGCCTTGTGCTCCTTTTCAAAGTGGACACTGTACACGTTTTCAGGGAACAGCTCGTTGCAGATCGTACAGATTTTCCACTTCTGTGTGGATGATGTATTGACAGAGGAAGGACCTGTAGCAGCCACGGGGGATTTGGAGCCAGACTGGCCCAAAGCCCTGGTCGCTGCCTGTGACTGGGACAACGAGGTCTGTTTGAGCTGCGTTGAGGACAGCGAGGAGGAGTTGGCAGACTGCAGAGAGTACCTTGCTGAGGCCTGGGACCTCTGCTCCCCTCCAAGGGTGTAAGGCCTTCCGTTCCCACTCGCTGAAAACTGTTTCATGGTTTGTGATTGCTGGGAAAGAGAAACGGGCGCGTTTCCACTGAGGCTGAGCCTCCCCCCCGGCTGCCCAACGTAACTC